CTATGAATCAATTTTTATTGGGGTGAATAAAGATTGTTAGTTCATTTCCTTGAAACCAGGGCCATACGTCTGAGATGTAATGAAAACATGACATTTCAACAACTAAATATCACAGTGCTACCTGCTTATTAAAGTCATACAAAACCAGCCAAAATTTCAAAGAATATTTTTACCTCAAACAGCAGAACAACAGCTTTGAACTTCTTAATTTCTACCCGACATGCAGCTGTTAACACAGACTGGGAGTAGATGAGTAATAATGAGCGGCGTGTTGAAGGAACTTCGATGGCTGGTTCTTAGAAGTTAATGGCAGCATGATCCTGGACTGTGACCGGAAAGGTGAGACAAAACTCAGAAAGTGCAGTTTAAAAGATGCCCATTCCCCAAATGTCATGCCCAGGAGGGCTTTCAGATCCTCTACATCACCAAAGACCAGAGAAGAGCCATCGAGTTTATTGTCTTTTACTGCATCGATGTACTTTCTCTCCAAATCCATTCTTTCCATCTGAAACAGAGAATATAAAACATGGAGGGGAAAAGATGAGCCGATTAATAATCTTGAGGCAGAGAAATGTCATCAGAAACGGTTTTGTTACCACTGAGGTTACTGAGAAAGGCAAAAGGAATACCCATCAGAAACCAGTGGAAAACGGTATAGTAAAAATGAAAATAGGAAGGTAAGAAAATGTCTACAGTGCACTATAATCACGCAAAAGTTACACCGACTTGATTCTTCTGACATCTTTAAAGGAATGACTTTAAATACGAACTCACCTCTTTACAAATATCATCAGTGGTCATTTTGAGGAGAGTTGTGATCGGAAGTGGAGCTATGTTCCTCATCCAGCCAGAATCCTCCAGCCTGGATGTCCCTCTGATAAGAGCCAGCTCCCTCTTGATTGACTGATCCAGATTCACCATTGCCATCTGAAAGATTTCTAGGTTCTTTAGGGTGAACTCGAACTCATCATCCTTGAGTAAAGCTTCGAACACCTCGGGGTCCCCGTCCTGCTCCAGGAGGTCCTCGATATGTGCCCGCATCACGTATAGCTCCTCTCTGGACCTGCTGAAGACCTCCCACAGGGTCTTTGAACCGTCAGGGCTTGTGTTCCGTTGATCAATAGCTGCTCTCTGCTTTTCATCCTCCACACACTGGATGATCCAGCTGAATCGACATGGCCACTGGTTGGCTAGGACCACCCACGCTGCTGTATGTTCCGGATCAGGAAGCTCAGTTTTCAAGACCTTCATGATGATCAAAGTTACCCAGACCGAGTTGATCATCCTCTTCATCGAAATGGCATCATCTAACATGTACTTGTTGAGCTTTTTTTCCCCATTGTTCAGGATTTTCCAAACTGTTTTCTCCAATTCGTCTTCCTGCACATCCAGGATCTCTGTGTTTGAGTTGATCAGTGGATTTGACTCCTTTGGTTCCTCAATCTCCACCATTTGCAGATCTATTGAAGATGTCTTTCTCCTGTGTGTGCTCTTACCTAAGGGAGGATCTCTGGAGATTCCCGAACTGTTGGTAAGGTTGTAAAATAAGCTGCGCTTTGCTTTTTCACACATTGGTGGGACTGTGAAGGCCAGGGTGACGATGCGGTTCAGGAGAGCATGAGCTCTGTCCTCTTTGCAGAAGCAGCTTTCTGCAAATTGTACTTTTTCTAACAGAACATTTGGATTCACAGCCAGGATGGAAAGAACTGGGCTCTCCTCATCTGAAAGTAAAATATTGATGGCCTCCAGGACTGCAACAATCTTCTTGGGGGAGCAACGGTCCAGGTTAGTAATTTTCAACACGATGCGTATCCTTTTCCTTTCAAACACCTCCATGAATTTAATGAATTGAGTCAGAAACCAAATTTCCTTCCTGACTTCATTCATGAATCCCAGTTGGCTGCTGATCCGATCATTGTCCATTCCCCTCTTAATGTTCTGATCCTGGCTGAAGATGAGGTTCTTGGCCATCAGAAAGATGAACCTCAGAGCACTCGCTGCTGGGACTCCTAATGAGGCAATGACGAAGCCCTCCAGTACACCCACCGCACCGTCCGCTTTGGTCTCTTGCTCATCTGGTTTTACTTCAGCTTTAGGAAGACCCCAAACAAACAAGACGACAAGGAGGACTGTTGGGACAATGAGGATGGATAGGATGAAAAACCACAGAGGGCAGCAGCACACCTTCTTGGAAACCCAGTTGTTGGGGCCATCTTTTACCTCCTAAAGTTAAAAAAGGAAACCCAAGGGGAGGAAAGGTTATTATCCTCTGTTGTGTTTTAGGATCTCGTATCTAGATGAGGAAATTTCAGTTTTATATCAGTTTGTTGCTCAAGATTTGTTTTGAAAACCATTAAACTGCTGGAAGACAATTTGATAATAATAATGTATTGAATCCATTTCCATGTTTTTATGCCTTAAAAACATAAAAAAAGAAAAGAAAAACACCAAAGTTGTTCTTAAGTGAAGAATAAACAAAGAGAACTGACAAACCTTTTCCTTTAATTCGTCCTCTTCATCGTACTGAGCAACACGGTAAAGAGCAAGCTGCAGTTTCCCAAAACTCATCTGCATGGCATGAAACAAGCGCATGGCTATCCCAGCCCATAGCAAGTCACTGCCTGCAAAATGCCAAGCACTGAAGTTCACATAAATGAACCTGACGTTATGGTGGTTCTGGTTCTCCGGGGTCCAGACCGGTGTGCAGAAGAGCAGCCTCCACATGAGGGCCAGGAATGAAGGCTTGGATTTCTGTCCGTTCTTGTATTTCTGCTCAATCCTTAAACACTCACGATTTGTGTACACTGAAAAAACAACAGTTCATTTTATACATAGTGGATGTATATATTTTAAATCCAAATGATTATGTTATACAGGATCATTAAAACAAATAATCATATCATGGCAATAAATCCATTTGCACTTAAAGAGCTGGATGAGTTTTAATCTAGGATATTGTATACTAGAGTCAGAGAAAAGTGTAGATTTGACATGAAAATATAAAAAAAAATTCCATTTTATTACACACTTCTACTGTCATTTTTAAAAATAACCCATGTCAAAAATATATAAATCATTATCTTAAAAAAACAAAAATAATGTGATTCCAAACTGGTAAAATTGTCTGTTAAAACTGTATAGATTTTATTTATTAAATTTTTAAATGAAATATCCTGGAGCAAGGAAGTAAATCCAATACCATCTCCAGGGAAAACAATCAGCCTGCACTGCCATGTGAGAAGGCAAAATAAAGAAAATGGATGTAGGGTTCTAGAGTAGTCGTGTTTGTCATCTGTCTTGCAACATCTCACAGCCTCATTATTCTGTGAGTTTTATTATCGGAGCTTCAAGCTTGATCTGAAATGTGCAATATATCTGCAAAGGTTGAAAAAAAAAAAAGAATAATTTCTGTTGAGGCGGGACCTTCAGGGTACAGCAGCACTACTTTTCTTTTCCATGGAGGCCTGTCATCACTCCTGCACCTTCTATACTCTAGCCTAGCAGACGTCACTTGTCTTTGTATTCTACTTTCACATTTCTGTCACCACATATTTTTTTGAAAATGGTGAATTCATTTTTGTCGCCTGCTTTTTTTTTTATTTTTTGTACTTTGTGGTATATATTTCACATTCCTGAAAACCTCAAAGGAGATTTTTCACCATGTTAAAAAAAAGCCAATCCTTGACTAGCTGACCTTGAGTAAAGAGCAAAAAGGGAGACATATCTGAATCTTAAATGCAGCCAAATCATTTCAAAGAAGCTAATTCAGCCTTTAACTGTTTGACTACATATTCTGTAGCGTGTTGCAGTATTGTGTCAGCACAGTATGAACATGAAGAGGCGTAGCTGCACAGTCACCACATCACAGCTTCACACATCCCTGTCATGTTCAGTAACATGCGAAACATGCAAATCATCTGAGGTGCAAACTAGTCATCAGCGTCACACAGTGGCAACCTGAAGACTGAACTTAGTCACAGGTTTAAGTGGCTGTTCTGGAAACAATCTGCCGGCACTTTTCACATCATTTACCTTCAATTTGATCGAGAATCACATCCAGTCGATCCTGACAAGAAGAGTAGAGACCCACTGTTGTCGGAGATGAGACCCTCGTCAGTGTCTTGGACAGAGCGTACGCATAGATATTATCTAAAGGCAGATTTATAAGGAAATGGTTAACATGGCTTACTTATTATGATGCTAGTATTGACTGTTCTGCTCCTTGTATGTTTGGCAATGATATTATTTTAAGCTCTGGACCAAATATTAAACTCACCCCCATAAAAAAACAACAACCCTAAACCTCCTATGAACCTTAATGTTCTCTACAAACACCTCATGGTACCTTAGCCTCGTTTCTAACACTGCCTGCTGCTAGAAAGGAACATTTCAGGCTTTAATTCATCAGTAAATGGTAAATTGCCTGTACTTATATAGTGCCTTTTTGAGTCAGGGGACTCCAAAGTACTTCACTCTACATTCAGTCAGCCTGTCATTCCCACACTGTGAATGTGTGAGTGAGCGGGGAAATTTCTTTTAGCAGCTACTATACTTTGTTTTCTACAGGGGAACAGTGCATACATCTTGTCTTTTCTGTTTTTAAAATTAAGATTAACCAACACGCTTTGAAGCATTTTTAATACTGAATGCTTGTAACATTTACACATGAAAGTTTCTAAAACCTTTCCATATTTAATCATGTTAGAAACGTTTCAGTGCAGCTCTGGCTCTATGTATAGATTCATTGTCTAGTCTGGACTCCAGTCCCAATATTTGTCAGCTGTTAAAAGGGTTTCCTTCATGAATACCTGGTATTTAGCTCCATTTATGTCTCCATCAAGTCCAACCCCATAGCATAACGCTGCCACCACCATGTCCAATGACAGTGAGTAGTTTTTTAGTGTGGTGTCCAGTGTTAAATTTCCAAAACATTCAGCATCTCATCTTTTCCAAGGCACATTTTTTCACCCGTGTCTTCAATTGGCTTTTCTTTTAATCCTTTGTCATTGACCGCTCTTTTAAACAGACTAGCCTTCTAGAAAAAACAGCTA